TTAATGCCAAATATACATATACACGCACTGGGTTTATCTCTCTCTCTCTCTCTCTCTCTCTCTCTCTCTCTCTCTCTCTCTCTCTCTCTTGGATAGAATGACTTTAATTAACAGCCGCTATTGCTGTATTAACATAACGGGCTGATTCTTGTTAACCCTAATTATTTTCATGGGTGGAGTCAGGGCTATTTATATTTTAGGAGCATTCTGTAAAGCCATAAGGGATGACCCAAACAAGCACATTACTCTACATCAGAATTAGCCAACAGGAAGAACATTTCCAGGTCAGATATTACCTCAAAATGAAAAGTAAGAAAAAAGAACTTGAATATGCGTAAAGAAAAAAATGCCCATTACAAGTACCATTTAAAAAAAAAAAACATTGTGCCAGTACTTTCTCGACAGCTAAGCATTAATCTGCCCCAGATTTCACACTACTGATGCACAAACAAATTTGGTAACAGGGTTGCGAAGTCTGCAGTTTTACTGCGGAATAGGGTGACTTTTACACTGTTGCGACAATGGGTTGCAGGTTGTTTCTGAAGTCAGGGGCTCGAAGTGATCTCCCCGGAACGTGATGGAGGGACTCCCCTGGCAAAGGGAAAAACTAAAGTAAAAAACATGATTGGGCTCATGTTGGGCTAGTTTTAATTAGCAAATGGACTGGTTTTTGTTTCACAGACCTGGCAACCCTGTTTGGTAATTTGGTAAAATACTGATCAGTGCATTAGGCATTTTAAACTAACAATGAGCAACAATCTAGGCCAATGTCAGTTTATAAATATTCTATTGTTAATCAGTTCATGTTCATCTGATCATTCAATTATTCCATTCAATCTGTCAAACGAAAAACGGTAAAAAATGGTCAATATTAAATGTTTCTGTTTTTTTTCCAAAAATTGAAAGTTGGCATTCCATGGAGGAATACAATCCATGTATCATGCGTCCATTAATTTTTTTTATTTAATATTGAAAGTAGAAAAATTAGAAAACGGCTCCTTTTTAGTTTTTCGTTTGTTTTTTCTTCCAAAAAACGAAAAACGAAAAACAAGAATTCAGCTTAAATTTTCGTTTTTCGTTTAGGGGTATAAAAATGAATAAACAGCTTGAATATTCAATTTCTACACGTGGGCGGGAATTAAACGCCCCTTTCTGCTGATTGGTCAGCTTAAGATCAAACCATGCCGTCATCAGTTCTTCTGTAGTATCACGCAGCAGAATAATAGCATATTGGCTGTTTTTGCATTATTTCGCCAACAGAAAACATTCCAAACACAGCGCTGTTTTGCGTCTCTGAGGAAAATCAACCGTTTAAATGATTTGGTTCATTCGCAATGACTCACGTAACAGTGACTTGCTGCCACATACTGGCGGATTTAATTTTACATTTAAAGTATCTTTTAATTTTTTTAATAATTTAAATATCACTATTCAACATTTCATGTTTAAAATAACAAAACATTATTTATGCATTTGTAACTGCAGGTTAAAGCATCCCATGTCCCTCTAAGCTGCATTAACATGTGTACATTAAAACATCAAACATTAAAATGCCACTTCATATTCAACTTCTGCAAAGATGAATTTTATTGATACTGATTTCATTTTAGTAACAGCCTAAATGTAGTATTGTTATAATTGCCTGATTAAATGTAAGAATTTTACTCAAAAGACGATGCACACTTTTAGTAAAAATGGATTTATAAAGGTAAAAATGCCCATAAAAGGTCAAAATCAATCTAAACTTATTGAAAAATATGAATTTCTGTCACTGCTGTGAACTGACCACACAGAATATGAAGAATATCAAAAACTTTAGGAGTCAGCTGTCCACGGTATCCTTAAGATATCAGCACAATAACACACTCAGCAAAATATTGTCTAATTATCTTTATCAATAAAATCCCAGAAAATATTGAGATATTATTTTGTCAATATCGCACACCCTTAGTACCGACACAAAATTATTTGCAACAGTCGCTTTGTCATGTAGTCATGTAGTGTCATGTCATGTTTATTTCGGGGGTTTTTTTTTTTGGCTAGTAGAAGTTATGAATGGCCGGTAACTTAAAAATTTAGTATCCAAATTGGCTGGTGAGTAAAAAAGTTAACTTCAATCCCTGCATACAACTATAAATGACAGAGTATTACGTTTTTTTCCCCTCGATGGGGAAAAAAATCCAAGTGAACGTCAATCAGTACTCAATATTAATTTAAACTGCATATTTAAACTGCTTTAAATATGACTACTGCTTATTTTCTGTGCACTTCAATACTGGTCTGTGCTTGACTGTAGTCGTGTCTGTCTGCTTATTAAGTTTATTTAACCCATCGCAAATTGTAATGAAAAAAAAATGGTATCTATATATATTGTCAAGTATTATGGTAGCTTTACCAGTACGCTAATATGTATGCTTTATGTGATATTATATTGTATTATGGTACTCTTCACTGTACAAGAGTAAAAAATATTGCAATTGCAATACATTATTAATGAACATACAATTAAATCCAAATATTAGTATTTTCCTCTTTTAATCAAGGGAAAACACCTCTAAATTGTCACTGTTTGTCATATTATTATTATTATTACTGCTACTTTCACATCAGTTACTGTATTTCCTGTCCAATCCCTCCTATCCTTTTACTGTGTCATCTAGTGGCAGAAGATAGCCAAAGCACTGACAAACTGCAAGAGGGATACTCTCCCTGACTCACCTGCCCTTAGCTACCAAAAGCAGCCCCAAAAGACAGTTTCCTTAGCAACCACAGCACCGAAACAGATTTTACTGCTCAAATTCAACAAAGAAAGATGAAAAACCCACAACGCAGCATAGCATAGCTTCCTATTGTTTGCAGAACAATTGCTGCACAAATTATCAACCCAAACTTGTTCTAATTTTTCAGTCTTCTGTTAGTAAAAGATTCAGACAGGGGAATGTGCTTTGTGTTATTCATACTGTGATGACTGTAATCTCATTAGGCATTGGTCTAGACTGGCTCAGCTAATAAGCGGATGAGCACCATTTAGGTAAGAACAAACCTGAAGCCCAGGTTAACTAATAATCCATACACATGAAAGACCTGATGAGCATGTGCTGCTGAAATGGCAAAACCAACACGTTTCACATTTACTACTTCAGAATCTGAACAGCTGCCATGGAATTGATAATCACTTTTTAAACAGCTGATGCTCAGATCTGATATATGACAACAAGCTTAAATTTAAAGTAGCAAATAAACCCCTTGTGACTATCCAAACAAAACTGTAGTACTAAAAATCTGTCGCTGGTGATTTTTTTTCATAACAGGTTCAATTTATTTTTATTATTTGTAAAATAAAATGACCACAGTTTTCATGATGCTTTGTCAAAATTTATTGTCTAAAAAAAATCACATCCAACCAGTTACACAATAGTACTGTTCCAAAATACATAATTTACAGAAATCTGTGGTTTAATCTAAAGTTTTTTTTTTTCATTTCAGTCATAAAAAATAGTGCAATTCAAAACAGCTGTGACTGAGATTTCTGATGCGTTTTTACACCCACCATTTAAACCTCTTCAGACAATATCAGTGCATCAGTCCTTTCGTTTCCTGAGGAGAAAGTGCTAAGTCCTTGAAAACTTCAGTGCAAATCTCTCTCCCTCTCTCCCTCTCTCTCTCTCTCTCTCTCTCTCTCTTTGCATAGGCGATAAACAGTGATTCCTTTCATAATTCACCCAACATTCAGTGCAGCAACACACTTAACAGTTTGAAAGATAACTGTCACGCTTTCATTCTGAAACTTGGAAATTGTTCCAAGCAGATATTTTGTTTGACACAACAAAGCTTTACATATGATACACAGATTGGATAGTCTATGCAAAAAAGTCTTTGAAGCCTTCAAGATCTTTACAAAAACACCAGACAAACATATTTTCTGAGAGAAAAAACTGTGAAAAGAAGAGGCCTTTTGCATACTTGGGTATAAGACTTATGGGTAATTTTAGGTGGTTCTAGTGTGACAATCCACTTTTTTTTCACTGCTGTGTCGGTAAGAATGCCGACACAGTCACAGTTTCTGCCACAACTGATTTACTAAAACATTGCAAATCCACTCATTTCAAAGAGGACAAAAGAATAACACTTGAAAGTTGCGAAAACGCTGACTACTTCTGTTGCAGTGTGCACCGACATGCATTTGTTGACCAATAGCAGAGATTCGTAAGAGAGGTGAGTCGAGTTTCAGAAATCCATTCGCTGTATTTTCACTCGATTTCAACCTCTTCCACACTCTCAAAATGGATCTAACACATGCCTTATCCACCGAACGCTCCATCAGATTTTCCTCTAGTGTGTAAGCACCCACTGATACACTAATGAACTTGTCATAACTGTATGACATATGTTGTGTGAAAATCGCAATTAACATAACGTCTCCTCCAGGTATTACTACAAGTGTAGACTGCTTGTTAATACTTTTGTGGTCTGACCACTCAACCACACAGCTAACTTTCAAGATTAAAAAAGATCTTAATTCACTTTTGACACTTCCATCTTCAACAATAACCCAAAAATAGGAACTCCATGAGATTTAACATTAGACATATAAAAACACAACTATAATTTAGATCCATTTCTGCTAGCAGGGGTCCAGAAACACCTTCAATCCTCTTTTACTTTTCTACTGGCTGTTACAGTCAGGTTTGGAGGCTAGTGTGAGGTCACACAAGGACCGGTCACAACTTTAAAGGTCTTTTCCTCTCACATCTCCTTTATCAGTGCGATTTATGGTCAGCATGGGTGAGAGCCGAGACAAGCTAATTACTGAAATGATTTGATGCACTCTCACACACACACACACACACACACACACACACACACACACATACATTTGAAGACAACGTAGCTTGCTGAAAGATTTAGGACATTGCCTAATCTTCCTC